GAGCGCGACGTGATAGATCTCAGCCCTCCATTCGTAACGTCATGTTTCTCTCCCCAGTGAAGGAAAACCAGCGCCATGACGTGCACTTTGACGCTCCTCAGCAGTTGCTTCCCTTTGATGTGCTTGGCTTCAGTGCCATCAAAATACATGTGGCCACAAAAATGGTGTGGGGAGGCGCGAAACAAGTTTTGGCTGGGCGATACCACCACATTGGTTTGGGTTTTCTGGTCGATGGGCGAATGATGCATGGACCGCGTTCCCGTTAAATGATGCTTGCCCTACAGCTCACAGCAGAGTGAACACAGCGGACAAATCGAGTCCATCCGCAGCGCGCCGAGTTATTCACTTCCTCGGCAAATTTCTTGAGGTTTTGCTGCCTGCTCGAGTCGACCACCGATGGCGTCAAAGTGGATGAAGTCATTTTTCGTCCCGACGGGCCTTCCGTCAGTTGACCACACCATGGTAGAACTAGCAGGCCACGCGGCATGCGTCGAATGGATTCGACGAGTGTTTCCACGTTGCCCCGTTGCAATACAAGTAAGACACATTGGTGTCGGCCAGCGTCGCAATTGACATCCACAACGAAGCGGAACCACAAGGAATGAGGGGCGCCGCCCCACAAGGCCTCAGTTTGAGGGGCTGCACAACGAGCGCGTTGTGAACGCACTCATGGGGTGTTGGCAAGGAGGAGTTGTGACTGTCCTGTCGGTAGATAGCAACACGTCGCTGCTTCGTACAGGGCCGACGGGGGTTAGCCAATTTCGGACTTGTTCGATGCAATCACCGAATTGTTCGATGATTTGTGGACGGTGCCGGAGGGGACCATAGGTAAAGTCGGACCACCACTCGAACGCTTCGGTGAACGGATTGCGTGCGCATGCAGTAGCCACGAACCAAGGCGTCTGCAGCAACTCAGTCACTTTGCAAATTCAACTGGTGGCCATGACTGCAGCTGTGCTGGTTGAACACCTGCGAAACCCAAAGCTCTCGATCGATTTCATCATGCACTGCACAGATCGCCCCCGGTTCCGCCAATACCTTTCCATCGTCGACCTGTGCTGCGACAACCGTTCACTCATGCCGCCGACGTCCCCGAGGCTACGCTATTGCGAAGTCCACGGTTGCGACCACGTCATTGCCAGCCGAAAACGGTGCATCTCCCATGGGGTACAGCGCATGCAATCCATTGGATCGAACTCAACGAGGGCTATGCAGGGTGGCGTGCGGTGTAAGGTCGCAGCATGTCCCAACGGGGCCAAGCACGACGGTCTGTGTTGGACGCATGGTGGGTGGCGATCGTGCACGGTAGAAGGCTGCGTGAACCGAACGAAGGCTCGTGGATTGTGCTGGAGCCACGGCGGCGGGAAGCCCTGCCAGACGCCAGCCTGCACCAAAACAGCCCTTCGATATGGCCATTGTTGGGCGCATGGCGGAGGTAACCTCTCCAACTTTGCTGTCTCTGACTGTGTGTGGATGTTGTCGTTGCAGGCAAGCGATGTGTCGAAGAGGGGTGCAATCGACCAGGCATCGAGCGCCAAGACAACAAGTGCCCCCACCATTTTCGATTGCAAGCGCAAGGCGAACGTTAATCCAACCATCCATCCTTGTGTTTGGTGCATGACTGATTCAAGTGTCTGGTTATAAATCCGACAAGTTGACGAGGTG